CTCCCCCTGCTTGTGTTCCTGCTCTCGCTATCTCTCTCTCTCTGTCAAATAAATAAAATCTTTAAAAAAAAAAAAAAATTCTGAGGCTCCGGATTGCATAATTGGGAAATAATTGAAAGGATAACTGAAGTTTGTGGAATTTAACTTACTAAACTATTTTTTTAAGGTTTTCAGATAAGTCAGTGAAGCTATTATTTAAAAATAGAGTTGTAAATGTCTGTTTAGTCAGAATCAGAAAAATTCCCTAGTCTTAGAAGAAGCTGACTTTGTGTTTTTTTGGTAAAGACCACAAATTGAAACGTACCTTTATAAAACAGCTGAGTGTTCCATGATCTCATGTAGGTAAAATATATATATATTTCTAATGCTAAAGGAAACAATAGAAAATAATGTGTTTTTTTAAGATTTTTTATTTATTTGAGAGAGAGAGAGATTGAGAGAGAGCACAAGAGGGGGTAGGGTCAGAGGAAGAAGCAGACTCCCTGCCGAGCAAGGAGCCCGATGGCGGGACTCGACACCGGGACTCCGGGATCATGACCTGAGCTGAAGGCAGTCATTTAACCAGCTGAGCCACCCAGGCGCCCTAATGTGTTTTGATATAAGAAAAGAGAATCAAAAGGGTCATGGTGCGGTTGGAAACATTCATGAATGTACATTAGGCAGATTGTTTTTTAAAAAGGGATGGATATGTATTTGCCGAAAGTGCAAATTAACATAACTACAAAGTACTGGTCTCATGATCCATTTTAGAAAAATTAGATAATAGTTTATTTTGGTGAGAAAATAAAACTATTTTTATATGTGATAGAATTTCAAATATGACCTAAGATACCTCTTACCTTTGAGTCAAAAAAATGGATGTTGTGATGAGAAAGTTTAAAGCACCTCTGTAGATAGGTAAAGGATCTAACAACTCTTAAAACTTTAGACTGAATTTTAACATTTTTTTATAGGAGTCTTAGAAGAACTACTTGAACATATATTGAGACTCAGTTGTTAAGTAGTTCAGAAAAAGTTACAGTGAAATGCTAAAGTGACTTCTGACTTAAGTTCCATTGGTTAGGTGGATGGTTTACATAATTTATGATTTCCACGAGAAATTTTAGGGAGAGGGGAGAAATGTATATTGAGGGAAACTCTGGTTGAAAGACATCCATGGAACCATTGCCTGGAAGAGTGGTGGAAGTTTTGACTCAAGACCAAGCCAGAAAAACTTGTGATTTAAAAGATAAAGGGAACCTTCCATGTTGGCAGAATGTAGGCAGAAATCTTTTCTATCTATAGTTTTATCAAGTACTTTATGTGTATATCATTGCTTGATTTATTTACATAAACCTCTATAACCTTTAAGTGTACCAATTTCATTTTCTGTCAGCCTTCACTTGTCATGGTCTGTATTATTGTAAGAATTCCATATAGGGGCGCCTGGGTGGCTTGTCAATTAATCGTCTGACTCTTGATTGCAGCTCAGGTCATGGTCTCAGGATCTTGAGATGGAGCCCCCAGTCGGGCTCTTCACTGGGCATGGAGCCTGTTTAATAAGTCTCTCTCTCCCTCTCCTCCTCCTCCTCCCTTCCTTCCTTGGGGCTCGCTCTCTCAAAAAAAAAAAAAAATGTCCATATCCTTTCCTGTCTGAATGTAGTATAAGAAATAACCTAAGAATATGCTGTTGCTTATATTCAAGTTTTAGGCTAGAGCATAATTGTATGAGTCAATGCATTTTTTAAAGTATTTATATGAAAAATATCTTTTGAATTAGAGATTAGGATCCAAGTATAGACTCTTTAGAAAGTTTTTCTTCCTTTCAGCCAGTGTTAAATTAGTATCTTTAAGTCTAAAAAATTGGTTTTAAATTCCTTATCTCTTATAAGGGTCGTTTATAAGACCAAGTTTCTGGTGAGGGCAAGATGTGACATTTTAACATTTGAGCATCTTTTGGAAAGGCCATGTGGGAGAGTGGGAAAACCAGAGTCCATCCCACCTCTGTTACTCTCTTGTAGGACTTAGGCATGACACGCACCCCTTCTCCTGCCCCTCGATTTTCTTCGTCTCTAAAGTGAGGTCAGTTGAGATCACTACACCCCTGATTAACTCTAATATTCTGTGTTTTCAGATTTGTTTTAGTAGAATTTTTTTCTTGTAGAGAAATTTGAGAAATTTTCTTTGAAGAGAAATTTTTCTTGAAGAGAAAACCTGGCACAAGTGGGGATGAATGGTCAGGGAGCCTCACTGTGCTGAATGCAGGGCTGCAGCCCTTCGTAGCACTTTGCCTTCCTGCATGTTTGGCTGGGCATGTGGAGCCTCCCCAGTGACGGCCTGCTTCTTTTTGCTTTAAGGGGTTATCAGCAACAGGATGCCCATGAATTTATGCGCTACCTTTTGGACCACCTGCACTTGGAACTCCAGGGCGGTTTCAATGGTGTTTCCCGCTCAGCAATTCTACAGGAGAATTCTGCTCTATCTGCAAGTAACAAATGTTGCATGTAAGATGTAGTTTCCTTCTCTTTTTTTTAGGAGGACCTCAGACATTTCTGTTGATGTTATTGTTTATTAGATTTATAATGGAAGGTGGAGAGTTTTCCTGGACTTTGGCTGAAACTTTTGTGTACTTGAATTTTATAACCAAGTGGACTAGCACAGGCCTCCTGCTTCCATACCAGAGGCATCTTGTACTTGCCTCTTGGTATAGTCCTAATTGTTTTTGGTATAGATCATTTTAAAAGTTGAGAAACAACAGAAAATATTTTGTACAGTTTAGCACTTGAAAATTCCCTGCCAAATGTATCAAATAATATTTGGGAGACTTAATTTTCTATACTAAAATAATTATATTTATTCACTAGAAACAAAGTTTTAAAAATATTTTGAATGTGAATTTTCCTAAAATATATTTGTTCTTTAATGAAATTGAAGCATTTGTAAGTTCTCAGAATTTTTCTTGCCTCTCAATATGAACAAATCAAACCTTTTAGATTGCTTTCCTAGGTACTAACACCCCAAAATATACATTGAGATTAGAAAGCTTATTTTGCTTGACGTAGGGATGATTTACTGTTATTTCAGTCTGATTTTAATTGTAGTCTCCTTTTGTTCAAATTTTTTGAAAAGTTTTGTTTTGACCTGTGCAGGAAAGGGATTTACAAGACAAACTCCCCAAAGACAGAAAGAAAAGAGTAAGTAATATATAGGGATCACCATATTGTATTGCCTTGCAGTTCACAAATCTGATTTAGTGTTAAGTTAGGGTCCTTTTAATGACAGAGCAGCCTCATTGCTCATCTGGCCGTATCAGAGAAGGGCAACCGTTTGAATTGCTATATGTTTCAAAACGTTTGGCTCTCTAGGTCCTGACAACTATGGTTCCAATCAGAATCCAGTACAGAAGGGGAGGGATCTGTGACCTGGTAGAATTATTCTTGCTGTTAGCACCAAGTTAAAAGTAGTATTAAGTGAAAAATTCTGCTTTGTATTTTATGATGGCCTTTTATACACTTAAGAATATTGAACTGGGCTCTATCAAGGATAGTCTGTGTGAAGTAAGAGGGTATATGTCTTTATTATTTTATTTGATGCCCAAGGCACCGTCATAGAGTCACATTGTGTAATAGTCCTAGGATGATACGGAAAACTCTAGTAACTAATGAGTTTTCCATATTAACCCATATCTTTTCATGATAGTTTAAAGAGTAGTAATTTTAGGTTCCATTAGTGAGATAGGAACAGAAAGAAAAAAATTATCATTACAGGATCCTAAGGATCATATTTGCTAAAACTACAAAAAAAGGTCTCCTATGCAATATCTGTGTTTACTTGTGTAAACACATCCAACGCTACTGAAGGTGGGGATGGTAGATTAAATAAATGACAGATCTGTTCTTTTTAGTACATAGAAAACCATTACTGCTAATACAAAAGACCCTAGCAGTGTAAGAGTCTGTCCAAGTAACTGATATTTAAACACTCTTGGTATACAGTTATAATGAATGGGAAATCAATTTTGAAATCATTTATGGATCTTGTTTTCAGTCATTGTATACCTAACTTAATGCCATACACAGCAGGTAGCCAAGACTCAATGAATATCCTTTTCTCAGAGGAAGAAATTATAAAGGAAGGACTACATTGAGTCTAAATGTACTGCTTTTTACTAAAGCAGTTTCCATTGTAATTAAGGGCAGTATTGTATGTGAACATCGATATGAAAGGATCATAGTCCCTTGATCCCAGTAGTTTTTTTGGTGTGCCCTTGTTTATGACATAGTTCTTAAACCTGTACCCTAAAATAGCTGTTACATCAGATAGTTCCAATGCATCTTCCCTTTTTAATTTACTAAAGCTGTGTATCTTATGAACAGCTTTTTTAAAAAAAAGATGAAGCTGCAGTATATTTCTTTTGCCAGTAAAGAATGGAAACCCTTTCCTGGAAAAGGAAGCAAACTTTTAAAATAATATAATTGCTTGAGTAGCTTTTGTCTGTCTCATCGTGGCAGTGGGTTTAATTTGGACCAACTCAAAAAGTAACAGTTCAGTGTATTAGGAGTATGATTGTTTGCAAGTGAGAGAAACCACCTCGGATTGCTGTAAGCAAAAAAGCATTTACTGACTTAAGTAACTACATACATAAGTGCACAAAGATTAATATGTTTGCTGTAGTACTATTAATGATAGCAAACAACAGAAACAACCTGGAAAACCATAATATATGGTTAAATGAAGAAAAGGAGCATAGTGTTAAGAGCTGTCTGACCCTGGACCAAGTTGGACCTCAGCTTCCTGGTCTGTAAAATGGGGATAATGGTATCTGCTTCATAGCTTTGTTTTGAGGATTAACTGATTTAATACATGGAAAGTACTTTGAATGGAGTTCGGCACAGAGTAAGTGCTGTTATAAGCGTTTGCTAATCATGCTTTTGTGGTACACTTTCTTGGTGGTTCTTGCGTTCAGTCTGTTCATACTGTGGCATGCCAGTCTGCTGTCAAAAAGGGTGAGGTACATGTTCAAGATACATACTTTGAAAAAAAGAAATAAAAGCAGAAGGCAGGTGCGGTCCTAATTATTACGCTAATAAAAGAGCCTTGAAACAATTTAAGGGCTTTCTTTTTGGTAAACATCTGTCTGAGCACTGTACAGATACACCCCATTTCATCTTCACACCAGGCCTCTGAGGTAGGCAGATATTATTCCTGCTGAACATCTGATGAAGCTGAAGCACAGAGAAGCTAAGTAACATTAGGGCAGTTGGTTTTTTATCGTTTTTAAAGTGGTATATTCCTGATCTCAACAAGGAAATTTACAGTATTGTTTTAAGTGAGCTTAAAAGGCTTATTGATAGTAATATCTAGCACTTCAACTGTGAAGTCATGCCTCCACCAGTAATTACGAAATATGTATTAAATTTCTTTACCCCTTTTCCCCAGTCTGACAGCTGACCATCTAAAAAGTCTAAAACTATCACTGAGCGAGGTTATTCAAAGTAAAGTAATTGAGAGTGTTCCCTATGAGAGGCCTTGCAAAAATTTATAAGGTGGTTTCTCTGAGTATAGGCATATGTATGTCATCTGTTTGTTAGTAATGGCAAATGTCCAGTCAGTGTTAGTGGCTCTTGGAGAAATTGGGATTGGAAGTGGGGCTGTGGAGAGGCCAGGGGCTTAAACCTTTTATCTAGTTTACCTCTATATAGCTTTAAAGGTTTTGCATTATTTCATAATTTAAATAAAATTATTTATTAAATAAATGATATACATATTCCCCCCAAAGAAGTATAGCAGCTTTTATACATATTTAGTTTTTTACTGATATATTTTCCTGTGTGGTGATTTTCTTTAGAAATGGAGCATCTACGGTTGTCACAGCTATATTCGGAGGTATTCTCCAAAATGAGGTTAACTGCCTCATATGTGGGACAGAATCTAGAAAGTTTGATCCATTCCTGGGTAAGACATATTTGGCATGTGGTGATATGATATTGTGTTAAAATTTTAATGTTTCCTTTGAAAATTTAAGACAGTACGAGATAATTGTAAGAATACATCAGTTTTTGAAATTCTTTTCTAAGTGTCATACATGCCTTTAACAGCTATTTTCCTATTTCCTTTTAAGACCTTTCATTAGATATTCCAAGTCAGTTCAGAAATAAGCGCTCTAAGAATCAAGAAAATGGACCAGTTTGTTCATTACGAGGTAAAGATACTTTAATGTTGTAGAATTTTTATTCCCTCCGAAATAGCTGAATAGACTCAAACTCCATCCATCTGTGCTATGTTTTTTTTTTTTTTTAAGATTTTATTTATTTATTCATGAGAGACAGAGAGAGGCAGAGGGAGAAGCAGGCTCCCAAGGAGCAGGGAGCCTGATGCGGGACTCGATCCCAGGACCCTGGGATCATGACCCGAGCCGAAGGCAGACGCTTAACCATCTGAGCCACCCAGGCACCTGTGCTATGTTGTTAACTGTTTGAATGAATTTGCATTACTGTTTAACATAGTCAAACCTGAATGTCTCTTCCTATCAGAAAGAAAGAAAAAAAAATTGGTGCCAGAGATATTAAGGCAAGCATAAGATATTTCTCACTTTTCTTTAATACTGATTTTAAAATCGAGTGTCTGTAACAAACTGCTTCTGACTTAATGAGATAGAACATTCTGTGGATGTCCCGCTAGTATCCATAGGAGGAAAGAACACTCAGCTAAGTTTAATAAGTTATGGTGTTACTCTTTTCTATGATTAATAGTTTTAGAAATCTGTTGATGATACATCTGTTGGTTAAGCCTGAGGCTCTGCTTTTAATTGAAAACTGTGAGATTTGGAACAAATTTTTTCCTTGATTAGTGTTAACTACCTTTGTCAAGGCAAAAAGACCGATCTTTGACCAGTCACTAAAGTGAGTAATTGTTCTTGTTGGTCATAAAAAGAAACTAGGATAGGAAAAAGAAAGAGGGCCTAGTGTGTGTTCTATCATTAAGTAACTCTACACTGAAGGCGAGTAACAATTTCTACCCTGATCTGTTGACTAAAAGTAATTTTTTCTTCAACTGTTCTAGAGAATTTTGTCATAAGGATTTACACACACACACACACACACACACACACAGTCTTTTCCTATAGGAGATTCTCATTGGTCTAAAACTGCACTGTCCACTGTGGTGAAGTCACAGATGGTTGGTAAAATGTAAATTAAAATTAAAAATGCAGTTGCTTAGTTTCACTAACCATATTTTAGGTGATCAGTAACCACATGTGACTAGTGGCTATTATATTGGACAGCACAGATGCAGAACATTTCCATTATTGCAGAAAGTTCTATCAGGCAGTACTGCTCTAGAATCAAATTATTCTACTGCTGCTCACTTGTTCTCAGAAAAAAAAAAATTCTAGTAAAAATATAACTGTTGGGGGAGGGACAGGCAGAATTCTGTGTCACAGATGCATTGGGCAGCATTGGGCTTGTTAAAAGAGGAGTAGCAGAGGTCTTGCCTGTAGCCCCGTTCCTCAGGTAGTTTCTTGAAATCCCTCAGGGGTGGCTGTCAAATACACTGGACTACTGTAAGACAGGAAAATAACTCCATATATGAAAACATTTTGTAGATATTTTCAGTTCCCCACCTTTGCAACAGTGTTGATGGTCTCTTTTGAACAGGAGTACAGGAGAAATTTAAGGAAGCCCCATCCATTCCTCTTCCCTCAAAAAAGATGGTTTTGAAATACAGGTTTTGAAAATACCACGGTATACTTGGTATCAAATGTCAGATTATTTTCTCTTTATATTGATGGCATGAGAGTACAAGCTAACTTAATCATAAAACAAACATTTGATCATTTAGAGAGGAAAGCAGTGAGAGATTAGTAAAGGAATTAGCCTCAAACCCTATAATCTAAACTGGATATGGCTTCAGTTTATAATTTCTTCAGACATTCCTTAACATAAATATGTGGATATGTATTTGAACAATATTTCCTAAATAAAACTAAGTCCAGATGATCTTTGGAATACCCAGAGCCACTGGTTTCTACAGGCTTCTTTCTTCCTTCTGCACTGTGTCCCCCCCATCCTGCATTGGTCATATAACATGGTTCTTATTGTCCCCTGTAGCATTTCACTTACTACCTATCCCAGAATGCTTTAATATTGAGAAACCTTACTTTCTTGAGACTGTTCAGGAGGAGATTGTATGACATAGCTTAAGTGGTTGATTGGTACTACAAACAAGTGGCAAATGGCATTTGCCTTGCTTCCCAAGTCGTATTTTTCTTGGCATCGACTCACTGAAATTTGATGTGATTGGGATTTAGCTTCAGGGGGTCCAGACCATCCTGAGGGGTCTCGGGCTTGGCTGGAAACAGGTTTCCTGCATTCTCAGAGGGCTTTCCTTTGAATTTTCAGACTTGATTTTTATTTTGTTAAAGAGCTTACTGATTGGCTTAAAAAACTAGATGGTAGAGTCATTCTTTGTTTACCACTATTATCAATTAAGGGTACGACTTTTTTTGGACATCCAGAGTGTGATGAATTTTAGTTGATGTGCATTTCTTTATTAAACAGATGGAGTCGTAATTACATTTTACATGCTTTAATGCAAGGATTACTTGTGTGCTTTTTGGAATGTTAATTGACAAGCTTAGTTTTCATTTAGAAAGGAAAGATGATGGTGAGAAAGATCCCTGGAATTTGAAATTATTTAACTAAAAACATGCATATTAGGAGAGGCTAAAATAATCCCAGTTCTAAAAGCTGACAAAGATACCATAAAAAAAGGAAAGATATTATTCTAGACCAAAGAATCTGATATAAAATATTAGCTAATAGTAGAATCTAATACTGTGGTAAAATAACAGATCAAGTAGGATTTCTTCCAGCCATGTAGGACGCTGTATCGGGAAAGAAGAATTTTCTGTCTGTCGAAGTCCTTCTAGCTGGACTAAGAACCAAGTTGACATGAGACAGATTAGGAGGAGAGTATCAGATTTAATTTCGTATGTATGGGGAATCCACACAGACATGAAGTTCTGAAGACCAGCAACATGAGGCTTCTATGAGCTAAGGAGAAGGGGTAGGAGTCTGAGGATACAAAGGGGAGAAAGACCATTAGCAGGAAGGTGAGAGGAAATGTTTGGAGAATAAAGTTTGTCCTCTTAGGCAGGTAAGTAAGTTTCTTGGGTAAAGCGGAATCTCTTGTTAACAGTCACTTCTTGGTACAGGCTCTCCCTTGCAATGTAAATTTAGGCCATTGGGGGGAAGGTAAAGAGCTTTTCCTGAATTTGTGGGGTTTTGTTTGCTTTTAACGCAAAATAATGTTCATGCCAAAGTGGCCCATTTGGGGTGTCCTGCCCTGGGCCCCTGCAGTTTCCTCCTCTGAAACTTCCCTGAAATTTCACACATTAAAATTGAGCTGGCCGATTGTTTGGTCTTATTGAACCAGTCCTGGCCAAAGGTCAGTTGAGTCTCATTTCGGGAGGCAGTGATGCAAGTTAGGCCTAAGGTTCAAGCAATCAGGTATTAAATAAGAGGCATTTCTGTGGAAACAAAAACACTGGTTACTGATTGGATCAAATTATAAACCAGTTTCTGAATTTTGAGGGTAGTCAGTCAAGATTTTTAGATGTTAAGCTTGAACAATCTTTAGTGCGCAGCGGCAGTCTGACTGATTTTCCTGGTTTGTAGTTCGACTGTCTCTGGTGATCTTTTTGAGGGGTCCACAGGGCAACAGGCATGAAGATTGCCTATATGAGAGCTGTTGTGGTGATTTCTCTGAAGTTTACATAAGTTTAGTTTGTAGGGCTTCTTAGTTCTCAGATAAATCCAATGTAGAAGGTTGGAAGAAAAATAAAAAACGTTACTTTGGAGAATTATAGTCAAGCATTGGAGGAAATTAGAAGAAATCAAGATCTAGTCCAGTTTCTAATGAACAGTATTACAGTTTATTATGTACTCAAATGTTACTGAAACCTATTTTCTCTACAATCACCCTTTATAGATAGCCAAATGAATACCAATTTGTTTGCAAAATGAGTGTGGCAAGAATAGCAGTTGATTAGGTAGATTCTTTAAAACCTGCTGGAACTTTTTCAAGATTGAAGTTTTAACAGCCTCTTGAGGCCAGAAGCCAAGCCAGATACTTGCCATCAGAACTTCTGCTGCAGTACCTATAGATTTGGGTGAATTCCTCTCTGCTCGAGGTCTCCGAAGTATCCTAAGGTTCCTGTATTTGCCAGGGAGTGCGAACCTTTACTCACCTGGTAAGGCAGCTGGGAATTCTGTAAGCAGGGTAACAAACTGGTACTTTTGGGGGCTTTACTGGCTTCTTAATGTCAACCTAGTTCCTTCAAGCTGTCTGGTCATAGCCGAGGTTATGCATCTCTCTCTCAAATAGGACATTCCAGTCAAAGCCTTGGTTACATAACAAATGTTTCCAATTGTGTCCTGTTATAAGGAGAACAGAATTGTATTGAACTTACGCAAATATAAGAATACCTAGAGTTTCTGAATTCCGGAGAGTTCAGGTAGGGAAAAGGATAAACGTATATTTTGTTAAATTGCTCTAAGTCAGTTAGCTTAAGAGAAACAATTTAAAATCTGGAAAAACAAAGCATTTTAGAAAGGCAGCAATGTTTTAAAAAGTCAAAGAACTAAAAAGGATAATTTTAAATTTTCAGTTCCATATTATTGTTTTGCTTAAATCCAGTTTTTCCACGAGTTCAGAAATTCTTACCAGTTTTATGGTAAGAAATCAGTTTTATGAACTTAAGGCACATTTGCAATACCATCAGAGCAAAATAGTAGCTGTATTAGAGTTCATTATGATGCAGTTGACAAGGAAATTTGGTTATTTTTGACTCCCAACATATAACAACGTACTAGGACATCAAGTTTCTAGGAGTTTTATACAATTTTAGAACACTTAACATATCTACATAAATATAATCTAAGAGACCTATCTGGAACACCTTAGATTGTGGTCAAAAGACTTCATTTTAGGATCTGATTTTAGGAAATATGTTAAAAAAACATTGAACAGTTTGAACATTTGATTAACAGGATCACAGGTCATTATGAAACGATATTTAATTACCTAACCAAAATGACAAAAGATTTCAAAAGGCAAAAATATAGAACCTTACATAATTGTGAGTAAAATTTAGCTTTAATATTAAGACTCAGTTTTCTTAAAGAATCAGACTTGATA